TCTCTCTCTCTCTCTCTCTCTCTCTCTCTCTCTCTCTCTCTCTCTCTGTAAATGGAAAACCGTGCGCGCGTTGGTTTGTTGTCGCCAGTTTCAACACGCGCGTGCAGTGCGGGGAAGCCCTCAGATAATGCTATGCGTGCACAAGCGCGTGAGGTACTTGGTAAGGGTTTCTGCAGACTTAAACGTGCTACTTCCCAGGTGCACATTAATGCATCGCTAATTAATTATAATCCAGTGATGTGGCATTCTGAAATGGGTCGCGCTGCATAACGAGCAGCCTACTTTCACTTTTGGTATTTTAGGTAGCCTATATTTTATGATGACTCTGCTAATGCAATGATAATAACACGGTGATACACCAAATACTTCATTACAAGTAATTACTATATATAGGCCTAGGTGTTTAAGGTTATTGGATTAGTACAGATTTATTAACATGTAACACTATTTTGATGTTGTTTGTTGTTGTTTTTTGATGTCGTTAGTAGTTTAAGGGTGCAGTGTAGGATATGGGGTTATCTAGTGGTGAGGTTGCAGATTGCAACCAACTGAAACTTCTCCCATGTGCCAAGCATGTAGGAGAACTACGGTGGCCGACGTGAAAACACGCATAGGCAGTGTTTGGTTTGTCCATTCCGGGCTACTGTAGAAACATGACGGCCAGCTCCGTGAGGAGGACCCGCTCTGCTACACACTGTTCCTTTAATCTACTTGTATCATATTTCATAAACTGATTTGTATTTAACATGTGAAATTGTAATCTGAAAAGCAACTAATAATTACACAAGTCAAATACCCTCCGAAATGAAAAGTAGCACATACATTTATACTCAGATAAAGTACAAGTACACTTGACTGGTTGAGTAAATGTACTTTCCACAAATGCAATAATGCTACAACAAAAGACAACACATGGTCTGTATATTACCACTTTATAGCCTATATACGATACAGCACACACTAAAAGCTACTAGACTATATAGCTACATAATCAAGGCTGGGTCGCTGAGTGGCAAGCTGTTTGTGGTAAAGTGATTAATAGAAACGTAAGTGGAAAGGCCACACACCCACACAGGTTTTCAGTACTCCAGCTAATCTAGTCAGGTTCAAATTTGCTCACTTTTTGCCCTAGGGCAAAATCATTACAGACAATCAATTGAAGAAAATATACAGCAGGGTGACATAAAGTTTAACAACTTGAATGTAATAGTAAAGTAGGAGAAGGCCGATTTTGAAGGTGTATGTATTCCCTCTTTTAATTGTTAATCCAATAGAAACCCAAAAATGCAATCAATATAGAAAACAGTCACTAGAAGCACAGATCAGCTTTTTGTATTACAAATCATCTAATTTACAATATTTACCTAAAACATACTAAAGCAGACATTCATTGAATTTATGTTGTGTGTTTGTGGCCACGTGTCCATGATTTAATATCTGTACTCAGTGTTTGTATGCCGGTATAAAGAACGGCTGGAGATAGGCTGAGAAGGCCAACATGAAAGGACTTTGGCCTCATTTGAGTCCTGGCGCACCGATGGACAAGTCAGGAGGGCGAGGTTATGGCTTTGTCCAGGCTGGTTTTATCAGGGGTGGAGTAATGTTGACCACAGGTGTGGATGTAGTCCTCTGATTCAAGGAACACTTAAAGGAAACACACTCCCCTTCAATATCGTGTAGCGCCTGTAGATATGGGCGATAGTGACTGGTAGAGTGTTTCACCATTTTTCTTTTAAAGGATGTCAAGAAAACGTTCTTCTAAGTGTCGAGAGATCACACTTATCCATGGATACAGGAGGATGAGGTTCTCTCCACTGTTTCTATTTGAGACCGGAAACACTGTGTCTGAGACATGTGGGGGTCTGGAGGGATCGGATGTAATGTACAGCATTGCTCAATATTCTTAATCTTTCTTCATCATCAAAGTAAAGATTGCGATAATTAAATCTATAAGTTTAGACATTAGTGTTGCATGTGTTTGCAGAATAAAAGCAAAGCAATAACGAAACTGAAATCAAACTGAAAGTGATGGAAACTTTTCGAGAAATTTAATTTTTAATTGTAACTAATTTAATCAAGATAATTGTTTTAGAAAACGTGATTCAAAGATGTCAGTTTAAATGGGTCATGAAGTTTGAATAAATATGGGATGGGTTATGTATTATATACTGGTCAGTGGTTACATGAAGAGTCAAAGTCAAGTAATAATAATGAATCTCTGTGACATAATAGCGTCGTTTTAACCAGTTTAACAATAACAACATAAATGTTATTCAGATTTAATTTCATTCATTTCTTTAAGTCAGTAACAGGGACATCTTGTGACATGAGCCGGGTGTCTCACAAGCATGATCAGCTATTTATCTGGGGTGAGATGTGTTTCCTCTGAACTCTTTTGGTGTGAAATACACAAAATTGCTCACATTTTTTTATGGGGAAGGCTTGACTGTGTGACTTTGTGTAGAGTGTGAAAGAATGAAAAACCAAACCACATCCAGTGGTCTTCCACTGGAGGAAAACAAGGCTCTTCTTACGGACAAATGAATTCAAGTCTTTGTTCTTAAATGAAGATAATCTGCTCTCTTCAGGACATACATCACTGTTTTCAAGAGGTTTTTCCTCCCTTTTTCTGTCATGGATTCAGATGAGACTCAAGATGTAAAGAGGAGCTGCTGACCTCTAGTGGTCTGTCAGTATTATAGATTATACAGGCTGCCAGTGAGGCCATACCGCCGCTCTTCTTCAGCACAGGACGGTCAACAGGGCCTTGAGATAAAGAAAGAAACTGTGACAAATCATCACATTTTTAAAGTAAAAAATAATCAGCATTATACAATAAAACATACAGATGGCTACAGGCCTTGAATGTATCTAGTTTATTAACACCTGACTCATACATTATTTGATTTGTAGATCATTTAATGATCACATTTTGCTATTATAACGAGGTTGCCGTATACGATTATGTTATTTTAAATTTGTAATAACTACTGGCTCTTAGAACAACTGATACTGATACTCATTGTGTGATGGAGGGTCGAATGTAGGACCTAAATACACAACTACCCAGACCCTGTAAAGGTACTGGCACACTGCTATGTTCTTCATTTTAGGAAGTATACCTTTTAATAAACTCATTATTATAAACTTACTTGATGCTTTGGCAATATTGTTTTTGTTACATTTGTGCCAATAAAGCACATATTCAATTGGATAGAGCAGGTTTAACACAAATATTTTATGCAAACACTAACACTAACCCCATTTTATGAAAATCATTGATGCATCAATAATCATATTCCAATAATATTAGATGTGTTGTTCCAAAATGGGCCATACAGCAAAATAAGCACTTGTATTTGTGATACTTTAAGTAAACTTTTGTGCATTTACATACTACTGTTATACTACTACATACTTGTAGATGATATGAGTACTACCTCTTCTGTTGTGGTGCATTCAGCTCACACCTGGTCACAAAGTTACGCGATAGAGAGACGTGGTTGACATGGGTGCACCCTGCAAAAAGCTCCTCTCTATTGCATGCCCACTCTTCTCTCAACATCCTTTATCTTTCTGACCAGGTCGCTTCACTTTAATAAGGTCTTTCTCTCTCTACCTTTGGCTGACACCTGATCCTGGAGTTTAGAGTTACGACAAACACAAAGACATACAAGAGGAAGAGAGAGAGAGAGAGAGAGAGGGGAAGGTAGTCATGGTTGACTTTACATAAAACAAACAGGTGTGAATTGAGAGAGAAGTATTTGTTCAGTGTCTTGTGTTATTTGCGCGACACACGAGAAGGCAGAGCGAGTGAGGGAAGCGGAGTCATGTGAGGAAATGCTCAATCCAGTCAAGCAGCTTGTTCCAGCTGATTATAAATATAATCAGGTAAACTACAGTTTGATGTGTGTGTGTTGTATTCGTATGTTTTGAGCGCAGGGGTTGAAAGTGTGTGCACATGTCTTCGGGCAGGGTGTGTAAATTTGCGTCTCTTTATATATAATACTGTAGGCATAATGGGTTCAGATGAGAGCACAGGCAATAGGTATCATGAAAACTGAGGAATGTGGTGAGAGTTTTATTGTGCTTCTGTTGAAAATGATTATCCCGATATGTGTTTATTTGTGCATCATTTGTGCAGAGTAAAAATAAGCTTTTGGAACTTTCCCAGTGTTAATAGCAAAAGAAAATATATGTTTTTTCCTTTGATACACCGATTACAAAGTTAAACATAGACTTCACTCAAGTGAACAGGCTAGTGTGGAGTGAGGGTGTGGTGGCATTAGTGGAGTTATCTAATGTTATTTTAATGAAGTCAGCTAACTTCTTATGGAGCATGTGAAATGTACTGGTTGCATGTTCACTTCAATAATGAAGTTTGTAAATTTGTAGCATCCCCTGGCTGAATATCTCGTCAGTTGATGTTTCACAAAAGCTTTAAAGGGGACACATCACACTCATTTTCAGGTAAGCACTTGTATTTTGGGTTTCTACTAGATCATGTTTGCATACTTTAATGTTTAAAAAAAACATATTTATTCTTATACCGTCTGTCTGAATATACCTGTTTTTACCCTCTGTCTGAAACGCTCCGTTTTAGCGTCTGTCTCTTTAAGAGCCTCCTCCTGAAAAATTCCTGCACACGAGCGCTATAAAATTGAGTTTTTCATGAAAATACATGCCATGCAAAGGACATTCTCAAGTTTGGTATCCAAACTAGAGAAACGTAACTTTATAATCTTCAATTATTCAACCAAAGTCTCTTTGATCTCGTGTCACAAAGCTCAGACTGATTATGAATTACTATTTATATTCCCTTTGTGAATGATTCAGCTCCCACGTTTCTAAAAACCAGAGTACAGGTTTGAAGGATTTGGCTGTTCTCAGGTAGAAACAGCCAAATCAAGGTAGAAGAATGACCGCGCAATATCTGCCCGTTCCATCTGTGCACAGACTTGGCTCGATAGTTGGTGCAGTGGGCAATGTTTTGCTGTCCAGATGGCTATGTCGCGGTAATTCCCCCTCAGAAGGGCTCGCCACTAATCCTCTGGAGAATCTGCACTGGCTTGATCTCATGCCTGCACGAGAAAACCGCACAGCCGGCCCTGCTGTATAGCTCCCTGGCTGTAGGACGCTGCCTATCTGACAGCCAAGCCTGTTACGCCTATCGACACTGTTGGTCAATCTGTTTGGTTGACGGCGAGGGTTTTAAATCAGCTCCACTCTGAGAGACCAGGTGTTCAGCGTGAGGCAAAGAGGCAACTGTTGTGTGTGCTGAAGGGTTTCTGTTGGGGCGACACAGGAGGTGGAGAGACATAGCTGAGAAGAAAGAGAGAGAGAGAGAGAGAGAGAGAGTAGCAGAGATCTTAGATAAGTCTGATTAGGTCAAGACTTAATCTCAGTGTGGGAACTATTTCTGCAATATGGGACTTTTGATCAGGTACACCTTTCTGACTTTCTTTACTTATTTTTCGTACAACGTAGACATCTGGAACAGCATGCAGTAGCTCTGTGGTGGCCTTATATTTCTGGCTTTTGTGTCTTCATTGTGACCTTATTGGTGTTTTAAATGTTACAGCTTGTGACTGCGGTAAAATAAAGTGCAAGACGACCAAGATGATGAAGTCAGTGCTCTACAATTAAATCTACGTGGTTGTGTGAAGTCACACTGATATAATCGGTCCGTTATCACTTATGTAGCAGATTTTACATTTTAATTTGAGTCTTCTTGGTTCTCTTTAGAAACTGCCCTCACGTGTTTCACTGTTGATGAAGTGATGCAAGCCTCCAGGCAGCCGGTGTTGGTTTTATCATGAAACTGACTGATGAAGGTCAAGCTGTTCTGTTGTGCTTCCTCCTCAGAAGGTTGCAATTCAATTTAAGGACTTGTGAGGCCGAAAGGGTCGATGGCTTCAGGGACAGATGGAGGAGACCTTAATTCAATCAGCCCTGTGTTATTTGTGTGATTAAATCCACCAGTGTGGGTGTGTTTCCTTTCACCCTCCTAACATGTGGATCTTGCGTCAATAACGTTAGACTGATACCTGGCTGTTTGTTGTCACGCCACAGAGGAGATGTGCTGCGTGTTTCTTTTCTTTCTTTTCTTCTCATGGCTGGTATGGATGCTCAGACTCACAGGTAGACGGGAGTCAGATGCGTCACTTCATGCCTCATTCTCTTAAGAATGTAGGGATCATGTAACTGCAGCCAAACGGTTTGATCTCTGTAATGTAATTGGGGGAAATTATATCAAAACCCGTCATTCGGTTTGCAACTGTAGCGGATGCCGCTCATAAAATAAACATTTAAATGTGTTCAGGGTTCAAATAAACGTCTGATATTCTGTTTTCCTCTGTGTGTTTGTGTGTGTGCGCTCGCTCCATTGGCCGGCTGTGCTTCTCTGCTGGATCCATGCTGCTCTACTAATGGTGAGTCCACTGAAACATACGCTACCTGCTGCACAATGTGATTCTTTCAGCTTACAATCAAATTTTCTGTTGCCAGTTTTTGTCTCAAAAGATTTTAATGAGTAAGTATTATTAGTATTTCACTCACTCTCTCCTATAGTTATATATATTAGTCTATAGATGATGTTCCTATGCGGTTGTTTACTCCACCGCTTTTATAGATGTCAAATCTCCACGCTGCTTTACACTATAAGCCAATTACTTGAGCTAATCTGGGTGGGGGTGTTGGTATACAGTATGTAAGAGGCGTGTGTGTGTGTGTGTGTGTGTGTGTGTGCGCAGTGGCAGAAGCCATGCCGTATGTTATGCAATGACAAGTGTGTCCTTTGCGTGTGAGTAAGAATGAGTTCAGAAGAGAAAGAATAAGTGTGGAGCAGGTAATTAACATAGTCAGGTAATGTGCCCATCGTCAAGTGTGCATTTAAAGAGATCAGTGCTCCAAACTTAAAATGTCTCCGCACTGTGTGACTTACAGAACACCGATTTCCAAAGGTAGCTACATCAAGGGGTCACGGCTGACAAACCGACCATAAATATTCATGTCACTGCACTGCAGTGTTTCTCAAATGCTGGCTTGGCACCACGTTGGAATTAAACTGTTTGTGTTGTATATTAATCGGCAATGTGTCTCACGTGAACGGTGTGAGAGGAATTGTAAGTTCTGAACTGGCTGAGAAAATATCGTTAGCAAAGTCAAAGCAGACAAAAACGAACAAACAAAGAAAAAAAAAACAGATGAGCTTAATCAACCTCTATTAATACTAAATGCAAGTAAAATATGAATGAAAAAAATAAATATATATTTAAAAAGTAGCCTGCAAACAGGAGACCAAAGACACCTGGGAATTCTGTTAAAACATCATTTTGGATTTATTCTGGCAAGAAATCAATTAAAGGACACTGATTTAAAAAACTAAATGATAATAAAAAAATGTAACCTGCTCTTCAGATCACCAATTTGCTGTTAAAATTCCAGACTAAACGTGAGTAAACTAAATAAAACAGTAAACTACAGCCTCACCACATTGCAGTGATGCCATACGTCCTCTAGGGGGAGCTACCTCGCCAACATAGCACTGCCACATCTGCCTCCAACGTCCCTCCGACGTGTATGGACAGCGCGGGCGACCAATCACATCTCAGGATATAATACAGTGTCCCCTCTGAGCCAATGAGCGAGCGCTAAAGGATGTTTTTAACTGTATGGGGGGCGGGTCTTACGGATGATGGACACGTCTGCTTTTGAGCCCTGGCCAGATTTCCCGTGTGTGGACTGTAGTGGGAGATTTTTTTGGAGGTTGAGATAGTGGGACGTACGTTATTTTTTGGAGGAGAACGGAGTGAGAGGCCACGTTTGGAAAAGTTCCCCCAACACGCATCGTTGAAAATCACAAACAGGTAACGTTTGATGTTTTTTACCACGTTTTAAATCACGTGGTTTATATATTAGCGACTGCTTCAATGCTTTTCGGGATATTTAGCGTTTTCTAATGTCTATTTTGTTGCAGTAACGTTAAATATGTCGGTGCTCAACCTGCACGAACAACCACGGTGATTTTTTTTCGGAAATGGTCACGTTTGCCAATGAAATCCGTTATCTGGACTCGCAGTCATACCTTGAATGCAGCGTTATTGTAGCGTTACCGCTCTTCATGGCGGTTATCATCACCTAAACTACTCTCACGTCTGTGGTTCATGTGGTTTGCATCACAGCTTCAATGGAGACGCTTAGCTCAAGTTAAACCAGCGTGAACATGTTTTTAAAAGGTCGGTTTGTTCGAGTTGCTGGTGGTGGTTGCATTTCCTGGTGTAAATTCTAATCACGCAAACGTAATCGTTGCGTTTAAAGACTTCTTCAAACGTCCGTCATTTTCATTTTAAGCAGTTTTTTGGATCGTTGTTGATGTGTGTGTGTGTGTGTGTGTCCCGTCCCCATGCAGCAACACTGGAACACGCTCGTTTTTTCACTGATATCAAAGGGTTTTGGTTTCATGCACAGTGTTCATTCTGAGACGTGTGGTTACTGCATTGGGGTTGGTCCCAGTTGTGACTGGCAACCGAGATATTCAGAGCATGAAGGGTTAACCGTATTTGTGGAATAGCATTATCAAATAGCAATTAGTCTGAAATGTATCTTACTGATAATTGAAAGCTTGAGGACACAATACCAAGAGTCAAAGATGATAATGGTTAAAATAGCTTTTTTAAGTTGCAGTTAGCCAATATTTGACCTGTTTTGACCATGTAACTAGCAGATTACGTTAACCATACCATGCATGGCATATTTCTGCTGTCAATGATTGATTTAAATGGCTCTAAAATGTAGACTTTGTTTCAGTTTTGGTGGGCCTGCCTTTGACTGCACCACCGTTTCTGTTTAAACGTGTCTTACTTTCTCACTACTATTTGTCCACCGACAACATGTGTGTGTATTTCCCAGGCAGAGTCACACTTTGTTTAACAGATGGCAAAGGTTCAACTAGTTCCCAGGCAGACAGACAGTCCAACTGACTGACAGACACACTGGACTGAGCTGAGATTGTGCTGACATGTAAAAAAAAAAAAAAGTCAGTGTCACTTGGCAAACGTATCTGTCACATCAACCTAATTCAATTTTGATGAATTAAATCGATGTCCGCATGGTGCCACAGTCGGACTCAAGGCCGTTTGCTACTCCTCAAGCTACTCCTGTTATATATTTCTCTCCTTTTGAACAAACATACGCAACTCTATCAATAACTATCTGATAGGAGCCTTGTGCAGTTCGATGGTGGATGTGTGCTGCAGCACAGGCACACTGATATTAGCGCAATGCTGCTAACAATCACCCTTTAATCCGTCTCCACGTGTCTTCATATACGTGTGTGTGTGTGTGTGTGTGTGTGCCACTCATCACTTTAATCAGCACAACTCGGCTCCGGTGCCTGCGGCCTTCTTGTCTCTTGTCCTCTGAGGGAAAGGAAGGTAGGTTAGAGAGAAATGGAGGACGTCCGGGTAGGCGCAATGTCATGGACTTTATTGGTGTATGTGGGACTCCAGAGATAGGAAATACATCTTTTCATGCTTTTATTGTATGTATCCATGAATAATGAGCACAACGCGATCACCAAGTCACATGTTTCCTAGAAAACACACAAGTATGCTGAGAACCCTACACCCTGTTTGACTTTGCATAACTCTTCATTCTAAAGCGATGGATGTAAACTGGACAGCAGGGGATGGTCCATACACATGACCTTTGTTTTCCACGTGAACCCATCTCTATGTTAGTTTAAAATACGATGACAAGACTGTAATCTTTCTGCTCGATGCCACCTAAAGCTCTCTGAGAGCAGAGTGGAAACCCCGTGGAACTGAGCAAGTTACGTAACAGTCATCATCATCATCATCATCATCATCCATCACGCCACACGGCCAGCCAGCTCCAGTACGTTCATGAGAGAACGGGTCTCCTCTCACATCATTGAAATTACTTTTAAACAGACTTCCTAGGATTTTTATCCATGTATTCCTTTGTCGTTACAAATATGTTCCCACCGATTTGAGAGTGGAGACAAATAATCATATGCAGTCCAACAACAGCAGAAACTAAGGACCCAAAACTGCCCATAGTGTTGATTTAACACACCTCTCTGTCTCTTAACAGCAGTTGAACGTCACATGCTTCACAACGGTATCACTTTCAGCAGCGCTATTGTGTGTGTGTGTGTGTGTGTGTGTGTGTGTGATTTTTGTATTGTGTTACAGGTTATTTAGCAGAGCACAACATGTGGGTGAAAAACTCGCCTCAGTAAAGGTTAAAGCTTTCATGATAGAAAGACGCATGGAATACAGAATTTGCGTTGGAACATTGTCTGCTCCATATAGTGTGAGCGGGAAGAAGCGTTGGTTTGGTGAGCCACAAGGGAAATCCACAAGTCGTCCGTCAGGCCCCCCCCCCCCCCCTGTGTGTGTGTGTACGTACAGTTTATCTGTAATCATCAGTGCCATGTTCATTCTCAGACTCTCAGGATGCGCAGAACAGTGGCGGCTCTGTGGAACCCACTAATGAGAGGCCTTAATTGGTTGTTCTGGTGGGAGAATCTGCTCATTAAATGTAGCTGGAACTGACTCCCTGTTCGCCAGAATGAGTGCACGATTTCCTCCTCTCAATATTGCCGTCGTCGTATCATGCCAACCCATACGTTCCCAGCCATTTGAGGATCTGTGTGTTTTTATAAAATTATGTTTTTTGGATGTGTTTTTTGTGTTTCTTCCCAATTCCCGAGCGCTAGAGATTGATAAAATCTTGAACAACAAAGAAGTCCATGTAGCAGTAGTGATACTTTACAGCTGAAGACAGGTGTATTGATAATCAAGAATGATCTCCTGTAGGTGTCTACACTAAAAGACTAGTTTGTCACTGTCTTTAGGAGATAGTAAAACTGACTCAGGCTTCTGTTATTTTCATATTCTATAACTTCTCAGCAGTTTTTTTTAATGTATTTTCACTGATGCGTTAGTTAAAGGAAAACACAACGAATGCTTGTGTGCAGTACTGCATTTGTAAGAGTCGGACACGAGAGGAGAAAGAGAGACTGAGTGAGGGCGACAGAGAGAGAGAGAGAGATATTGCTTAACCATTCGGAAAGGCTATGGGAACATCCGTGTGTGTGTGTGTGTGTGTGTGTTTCCATGCTGACCCTGTCGGTTCAACAGGAGCACAACACGTCGCATCACGTCAGGCACACACAGATCGCCTAACTGTGTGTGTTTTTTAGAAAAGCCGATATTTTAGAAAACTTAATTGTCCCGTAAACTGTCCCGCTTGTTTCTTCCTGAATATGTCCAGTTGGTTACACTGTTCATCCTGTCTTTTTTTGCCTTCTAGTATATCAAAGTGTTTTTATACCAAATCAAAGCCTTCATCTCCCCCACGATAGCATCGGGTCAGTCCCGACCATTGCTAAAGGTGTACATAT